CAGTGCACAATGTGGACTGCATAGTCTTTGAGTCTGAGGCCTCTGGCAGTTGTGCAGTGAACAAAGTGCACTTAGCTTGCTGAGCTCTTCACCCTGTGATTTGGTTTGGTCACCTGTGCGTGCAGTGATAGCGCTTGTGTGTGCCTGATTTTTGCAGGCGCTTGCGTATGCAGAATATGTACGGTGACAGACGGTGTGAGAGGGCCTTGCAAGTAGCCAAGATCCCACCAACAGCCTACGCTGGGTGGAGATTCTGTAACTTGCAAAGACTGCGGGTGGCTATGTCGATGCTTGATTTTACCTTGCTCTGCGCTTGCTGCTGGCAGGGTTGCATGGCCACCAAGAATCTAAAGCAATTGTTTGGAGCTGTTTGCCAGGTCGTTGAGGCTACAGGGCGTGGTGGTTGAATATTTTTCCTCATGTGAACTTGACTCTTTGGTGGCAGGCAACGTCATGAGTTTTTGGTGCTGCTGGCTGGTTGAGTTCGTTCAATTTCCTGAGGACAGATGCTGGCGAGATACAAACTGTGCTTTGAGCGATGTGTTTGGATGCCGAGGATTACAGAAACGGACAAGCATATATCTGAAGCTGTGGCAGCAGTGCACAATGTGGACTGCATAGTCTTTGAGTCTGAGGCCTCGGGCAGTTGTGCAGTGAACAAAGTTCACTTAGCTTGCTGAGCTCTTCACCCTGTGATTTGGTTTGGCCACCTGTACGTGCATGGATAGCGCTTGTGTGTGCGTGATTTGTGCGGGTGCTTGCGTAAGCAGAATATGTACGGTGACAGACGGTATGAGAGGGCCTTGCAAGTAGCCAAGATCCCACCAACAGCCTACGCTGGGTGGAGATTCTGTAACTTGCAAAGACTGCGGGTGGCTATGTCGATGCTTGATCTTACCTTGCCTTTGTGCTTGCTTGCTGGCAGGGTTGAATGGCCGCCATCAACAATCTAAATTGTTTGGAGCTGTTTTCCAGGTCGTTGAGGCTGCAGGGTGTGGTGGTTGAATATTGTTCCGCATGTGAAGTCGACTCTGTGGTGGCAGGCGTGATAAGTGTTTTGTGTTGTTGGCTGGCGATGTGTTTGCATGCCGAGGATTGCAGAAACCGACAAGCATATATCTGAAGCTGTGGCAGCAGTGCACAATGTGGACTGCCTAGTCTTTGAGTCTGAGGCCTCGGGCAGTTGTGCAGTGAACAAAGTTCACTTAGCTCGCTGAGCTCTTCACCCTTTGATTTGGTTTGGCCACCTGTGCGTGCAGTGATAGCGCTTGTGTGTGTGTGTGCGTGATTTTTGCGGGTGCTTGCGTATGCAGAATATGTACGGTGACAGACGGTATGAGAGGGCCTTGCAAGTAGCCAAGATCCCACCAACAGCCTACGCTGGGTGGAGATTCTGTAACTTGCAAAGACTGCGGGTTGCTATGTCGATGCTTGATTTTACCTTGCTTTTGCGCGTGCTGCTGGCAGGGTTGAATGGCCGCCATCAACAATCTAAATTGTTTGGAGCTGTTTTCCAGGTCGTTGAGGCTGCGGGGTGTGGTGGTTGAATATTTTTCCGCATGTGAACTTGACTCTGTGGTGGCAGGTGTGATGAATGTTTTGTGCTGCTGGCTGGTTGAGTTCGTTCAATTTCCTGATGACAGATGCTGGCGAGATACAAACTGTGCTTTGAGCGATGTGTTTGCATGCCGAGGATTACAGAAACCGACAAGCATATATCTGAAGCTGTGGCAGCAGTGCACAATGTGGACTGCATAGTCTTTGAGTCTGAGGCCTCGGGCAGTTGTGCAGTGAACAAAGTTCACTTAGCTCGCTGAGCTCTTCACCCTTTGATTTGGTTTGGCCACCTGTGCGTGCAGTGATAGCGCTTGTGTGTGTGTGTGCGTGATTTTTGCGGGTGCTTGCGTATGCAGAATATGTACGGTGACAGACGGTATGAGAGGGCCTTGCAAGTAGCCAAGATCCCACCAACAGCCTACGCTGGGTGGAGATTCTGTAACTTGCAAAGACTGCGGGTGGCTATGTCGATGCTTGATGTTACCTTGCTTTGCGCTTGCTGCTGGCAGGGTTGAATGGCCGCCATCAACAATCTAAATTGTTTGGAGCTGTTTTCCAGGTCGTTGAGGCTGCGGGGTGTGGTGCTTGAACATTTTTCGCATGTGAACTCGACTGTGTGGTGGCAAGCGTGATTAGTTTTTGGTGCTGCTGGCTGGTTGAGTTCGTTCCATTTTTTGAGGACAAAAGCTGTCGAGATACACACTGTGCTTTGGGAGATGTGTTTGCATGCCGAGGATTACAGAAACCGACAAGCATATATCTGAAGCTGCGGCAGCAGTGCACAATGTGGACTGCATAGTCTTTGAGTCTGAGGCCTCGGGCAGTTGTGCAGTGAACAAAGTTCACCTAGCTCGCTGAGCTCTTCACCCTGTGATTTGGTTTGGCCACCTGTACGTGCATGGATAGCGCTTGTGTGTGCGTGATTTGTGCGGGTGCTTGCGTAAGCAGAATATGTACGGTGACAGACGGTATGAGAGGGCCTTGCAAGTAGCCAAGATCCCACCAACAGCCTACGCTGGGTGGAGATTCTGTAACTTGCAAAGACTGCGGGTTGCTATGTCGATGCTTGATTTTACCTTGCTTTTGCACGTGCTGCTGGCAGGGTTGAATGGCTGCCATCAACAATCTAAATTGTTTGGAGCTGCTTTCCAGGTCGTTGAGGCTGCAGGGTGTGGTTGTGAACTCGACTCTGTGGTGGCAGGCGTGATAAGTGTTTCGTGTTGTTGGCTGGTGGGGTTCATCCAATTTCCTGAGGACAGATGCTGGCGAGATACGAACTGTGCTTTGAGCGATGTGTTTGCATGCCGAGGATTACAGAAACCGACAAGCATATATCTGAAGCTGTGGCAGCAGTGCACAATGTGGACTGCATAGTCTTTGAGTCTGAGGCCTCTGGCAGTTGTGCAGTGAACAAAGTTCACTTAGCTTGCTGAGCTCTTCACCCTGTGATTTGGTTTGGCCACCTGTACGTTCATGGATAGAGCTTGTGTGTGGTGTGCGTGATTTGTGCGGGCGCTTGCGTATGCAGAATATGTATGGTGACAGAAGGCTTGAGAGGGCCTTGCAGATAGGCAAGATGCCATCAAAAGGCTACGCTGGGCGGAGATTCTGTTGCAAAGAGTGCGGGTGGCTGCTGCGGTCAGGGTTGCATGGCCGCCATCAAGAATCTAAACAATGAGTTGTTTGAGCTGTTCGTTGAGGCTGCAGGGTGTGGTGGTTGAATATTGTTCCGCATGTGCTGGCGAGATACAAGCTGTGATGTGTTTGCATGCCGAGGATTACAGAAACCGACAAGCATATATCTGAAGCTGTGGCAGCAGTGCACAATGTGGACTGCATAGTCTTTGAGTCTGAGGCCTCTGGCAGTTGTGCAGTGAACAAAGTTCACTTAGCTTGCTGAGCTCTTCACCCTGTGATTTGGTTTGGTCACCTGTGCGTGCAGTGATAGCGCTTGTGCGTGCCTGATTTTTGCAGGCGCTTGCGTATGCAGAATATGTACGGTGACAGACGGTGTGAGAGGGCCTTGCAAGTAGCCAAGATCCCACCAACAGCCTACGCTGGGTGGAGATTCTGTAACTTGCAAAGACTGCGGGTTGCTATGTCGATGCTTGATTTTACCTTGCTTTTGCGCGTGCTGCTGGCAGGGTTGAATGGCCGCCAAGAATCTAAAGCAATTGTTTGGAGCTGTTTGCCAGGTCGTTGAGGCTACAGGGTGTGGTGGTTGAATATTTTTCCGCATGTGAGCTCGACTGTGTCGTGGCAGGCGTGATGAATGTTTGGTGCTGCTGGCTGGTTGAGTTCGTTCAATTTCCTGAGGACAGATGCTGGCGAGATACGAACTGTGCTTTGAGCGATGTGTTTGCATGCCGAGGATTACAGAAACCGACAAGCATATATCTGAAGCTGTGGCAGCAGTGCACAATGTGGACTGCATAGTCTTTGAGTCTGAGGCCTCTGGCAGTTGTGCAGTGAACAAAGTTCACTTAGCTTGCTGAGCTCTTCACCCTGTGATTTGGTTTGGCCACCAGTACGTTCATGGATAGAGCTTGTGTGTGGTGTGCGTGATTTGTGCGGGCGCTTGCGTATGCAGAATATGTATGGTGACAGAAGGCTTGAGAGGGCCTTGCAGATAGGCAAGATGCCATCAAAAGGCTACGCTGGGCGGAGATTCTGTTGCAAAGAGTGCGGGTGGCTGCTGCGGTCAGGGTTGCATGGCCGCCATCAAGAATCTAAACAATGAGTTGTTTGAGCTGTTCGTTGAGGCTGCAGGGTGTGGTGGTTGAATATTGTTCCGCATGTGAGCTCGACTATGAGTTTTGGGTGCTGCTGGCTGGTTGAGTTCGTTCAATTTCCTGAGGACAGATGCTGGCGAGATACAAACTGTGATGTGTTTGCATGCCGAGGATTACAGAAACCGACAAGCATATATCTGAAGCTGTGGCAGCAGTGCACAATGTGGACTGCCTAGTCTTTGAGTCTGAGGCCTCGGGCAGTTGTGCAGTGAACAAAGTTCACTTAGCTTGCTTGAGCCCAAAGCGTCCCCTGCTTGAACTATTCGGGTCCTGAAACGTGGACATGACTTTAGGGGTTGTCGAAGTTTTAGGATGGTTCGGGGGAGATGTAGGGTGAGGGTTAGGGTCAAGGGTTCGGGGTGTGGGGTTGGTTTCAGGGGTTCAGCTTGCAACCGCCATTCAGGGGGGTACTCTCGTCGTGAAAAAGCCACCATAAATCTAGAGGTACCTTCCCCTTTCTTTCCAGGGATCCTTCTTTTCAGGAAACCATCAAACACCCAGGGGAAACGGCCTGTTTTTGAAAACAACGATGGTTGAAAAGAATGGGGAATCAACCCCTAGAATAAAGCAACCAAGGGGGCATTGCATCCCTAGCGCTCCGCGCTCCGGTCATTTTGCGCTCGGATGTCACTTGTTCCGAGTGGAACTGAGGCCCTGCGGAGGCTACTGGTGGAGGTCCAGGCACGAACAAAAATACACCCCCTCCCACTAACATGGCAACTGACAGGGGGTCCCTTCGAAAGGAAATTAATCTTCCAGGTACCTCCCCACAGGTGCCATGTTAGTCGGAGGAAGGTACATGGTTTGGTGCTTTTGGGTCTTTGCCAAAACGGTAATTTTGGGTCTTTGAACTTGGGTGTCTATTAAACCAAATCCCAAGATGTGTGGTTTGCTCGTTTCCCATGCAACAAAAAAAGTCACACCCGGGGATGGTAGCCTCGAAAAGACCACCCCGTGTACTAATTTGCTGCTGTCATTCTCTTGAAGACCAGGTGGAAGCACAAAACCCATGTCATGGTGGAACGCTTGCTAGAGGGGAGGGACAAAAACCTCTTCATCAGTCGCTATGTGGTTTATCCCAGTTTCGGGCTTCCTCCATCCCAGCTTGCTGCCGGGCTGGTTCTGCCGATCTGCGAGCGAGTCCGTCGATCCGGGGTAAAACACAAGCAAAACCCCCATGAGCAAATCCTGCACTTGGGAATCCGATTCCTTTTTCAGGGTGTGAAATTGTTGTTGAGCAATTGCAGATGGTGGACAACTTTCCCCTTTGACACACGGTCGTGTTTGGTCGGGCTTTTTCGTTTGTCCTCTACTTGCTGGTGCTCTGAATGTTGGCTGTGGTTTTTTCTCGGAGTCATTCCATTTCTCGCATCTCTCGTACCGGCAAGCTCATGGGAACCCAGTTGATGAGTAAACCCGCTTGATTTTGATCGCGGAAGGACCCGGCAGGCTGAACCCCTGCTGGAACCAGCAAGTCTATGCTCGGTGGTTCCCTGCCATCCCCTTAGCCTTTTAGCAATTTTGAGTGTTTAGTGGTTGGATTTCCATTTAGCTTTCAGCGGGGGAGCTAAAAACGAACAGCCCATGGGCTTGGTCGCATTGATGTTTTCGCAGGTTTCAAAGGGTTTGGTAGGTCATTGTAAAGGAAAACGAAGGCTCATGTCGGGTGTTTCGGGGAAATCCATTTCGTGTAGGTTTTCCTGAAACCAAGCTGTAGATTTCGTGGGACATATCATCTTTTTGGTGGTTCCCCTTTTTTGTCACCCCATGTTTACCGGACCTTGTGATCAACCCCCATGGTCACACCATGTCAAGCTTTGGTAGGGCATTCAGGAAAACGAAAACTCATTTAGGGTGTTTTGGGGAAACCAAACTGTAGATTCAGTGGGACATATCATCTTTGTGCTGGTTTCCCCATTTCCTGCAGATGTCCATTTTTCGATCCCTCTGAGTTGGTTCTTTTGAGTTGGTTCTTTGGTTGGTTCTTTTTTTGGGTTGGTTGGTTGGTTCTTTTTGTTTTGGTTGGTTGGTTGGTTGGTTGGTTGGTTGGTGTTGAGTTTTTTTTTCTCGAACCCGAGTTGGTTCTTTTTCTCTTGAGGCGCTGGCCAAGAGTTGCGCCCAGTGCGGCCTCCTGGAGCCTTGGCGGGCGCTCAGGCGCCGGGGTGGTTTTTGGGGGTTGTGGCGGGGAACGCGAGGAGGCGTATGTTACATTGAATATATATATATATATATACATATATATATATACACGTACAAATGTATGTTTGTGCCCAGGCCTATTTTTAGATTGCCTGTTTTGATTTGTCATTGTGGTTTTCTGTTTCGTTTGGCTTTCTCATGGTGATGCTTGGTGCCATGATCAATCCTTAGGTTTGGCTATATGTACAGTTAAAATCCAATCCCCTGCCCCCCCAAAAAAGCAACAACAAAAAGAACCGAAAGAGCAACGAACAAAATATAACAGAACATAAGAATCAATACATATGATTTTTGGGTTGTTTTGAATGGCAATGAAGAGGACACCCTCCATTTTGGGAGTGCTGGAAGCTGAACGCTTGCCCCCTTTGCCTTTGGAACATTACCTTTTGGTTGCCGCCCTTAAGACACATGTTTGGTCTTGGTTGCGCTGTACTTTTTTTCTTGCGGCTTTCTGAAGACCTTGATGTTTGTTTCTGTTCCGGAGAAACGTTTCAGCTCAGCTTGAAACGTTCGTTTGAGAAGAGGTTCTCAACTGAGAAGAGGTTCTCATCAAAGCAAGTGCTGGTCTCAAGTTGAGGGATCATAAGATTGGAGGTGTTCCACCTAAAGTGTTACGTATTGTGGACAAGAAGAGGATTGCTAACATCATTTGCAATCTTGGATATCTCTGATCTTCAATTGTTACACAAGTTATCTCTTCGAGATGCTATGTGCAGCGGAAATACACAAAGACCTCTCGAAGATGATGAATGGCAGATATGCTATTGGTGTGGTAGGGCATCCGAGTTGGTGTGGAGTGGGTGTCTCGCGTTGGGGACCCCCCTTTTGGCAAAGCGTTCGAGAAATCCACTCTTGCCTGGGCTTCTGCTTCCCTTTGGTTGCCCTCTCACAGAACAAAAAACCACGTACCCCAAACAACAAGACACAATTCATGTGGACCGACTTCAGGTAGAATGTGGTTCCTCTTCCATTGCGGCTCTCCACCCGCCAGTTCCGCTCTGATTTCACGAACCTTGCACCAGGAAACCGCTTCGCACGGGAGCTCCTAGCCTCCTTTCCAAAAAACAGGGACACCACCAGGAAACCACCCATTTGGACATCAATCCTTTGAGCCGATGTCACCAACCCCCCCCTCTCGCCTTTTGCCCTTAACGCCAGGTGGCGTTGCGACGATGGCCAGGGATACTGCCAGAGCTGCTGGCGGGAATGGCGCCCCGGCCCGAAGACGTCTCGAGGGTGCCCGGGTTCATCGCTTCAAAGGGAGACCAACGGGTGTGTCCCCGAGTCCCCCAGCGATTGGTGCCCTTTTCTCACCCCTTTTTTGGTTGGGAGGGTTCCCCTACTAAATAAACTACAGAAACAAGTTGGTACCGACTAATTCTAACCTCTCTACTGGAGGACCTAGCAACAGGTGCGTCTTTTCTTTTGACCAAAGTCTACAGGCAGTCTACTGCTAGTTTGGGGCGAGGACATGGGGCGTAACTTGGGGGCTAGTAATTCTAGCATCCCTTGTCTGAGCGAAACCAGCGGGTGATGCCTAGGTGTGCCAAGCAAGATGGTGCCAGGAGATCGGGTTGAGCCATGGATCTGGCTGTGGCTCAAAATCGAAGAACCCAGATTTTTGGGTGATGCCACCAAAAAAACCGAAGACACTGGGAGTCTCAAAAGGCCCGAAATCATGTTTTTTCCTGCATCCCCCGCTGACTGCAGCTTTGGGTGACGAACCAGGGTTGAGGACTCCAAATAGAGCCACATCCATTTGCGTGCCACCGTCCCACAATCAAAGCCCAGTAGGGTTTCGCGAGCCCTTTCTTCCCATGCCCATTTGTTTTGCATATTTTTGCCCCTGGTAGGAGCGTCGAGTGCTTGTTGAATACCCATTGTTGGGGTGACGAAAGCCACAGCCGAACCGTTTTCATAGGTTTACAGGGGGCGGAGGTGTTGATGTTCTACCCCAGTTCTGAACTTGATTGAAAGGGCAGACTTAGGCTCAGAATGGACTGGAATGGCAAGGGTGGACTTGTTTTGATTCTGGACTGGGACGAACCTGGCGGGTGTTGACACATGACTGGTAAGATGTTTTGGGAGCGAGCTCAGCCCTACCTGGGTCTCCACCAAAACTATGTTATTTTTTGAATCAGGGAATCTCATGTATTTTGTGTACCCCAAATGTGGACCAAGCTACAGACTCTTGTCACGTTTAGACCTGTCGAAGTTGTGCGTTCACTTCTTGTATGCCATATGCCGATCGCTGCTCTTCCCCCCCAACACCCCCCCCCCTTTCAGTTGGTGAAGCCTTGAACGCCTTGTCAGGTCTTTTTGGCAAGGGCAGTCAGGATCGTAGGCAACCTGGGCCATTTTGGGAGACTCCCTTGAAAGATGCCACCAAAAAACAGAAGGCTGTGGGGCCACACTGCAGCTTTGGTTGCCACGCTTCCAGGACCCATTACTGCGGCACCTGGGTTGATGCCGAGCACGCGCCCGCGCAAGAAAAGACGGCTCCGGCTGCCTCGGGGGCGGGGCGGGGTTCGACGAATTCCGTCGCCAACGGAAAGGGCGCAAAGCGTGGCGGAAGGCGGGCGGCGGCGACGGGTGGTGCGGGCTGCCTAGATGGCGTCAAGAGTTGCTTACCTCGGTGTCATGCTATCGGCATTCCCAAAGTTGATTGAGCCGTCACGCTTTTCTTCCCCTGCGGCAGCTGCATGGCGTATCAAGCAAACGCCGTCAATCAGGCGGTGATACCGACTGCCGATTCACTTGCCTTCCTCGCAGCAGCCATCGAAAGCACCACGCCGTGCCCAAAAAGCTTGCCTTCGACCTTTGGCAAGACGTTTGGGACTGGATTGTCTCTCCTCAGTGGCTTTTTGTTCTTTTGGGTTGGAAAGGACAATGCTTTCCGGGCCCAGCAGCAAAACAACACAGAACCTGCAGGAGCTTCCTCTTGCAGCCCCTGGTCAAGTGCTCGAGGACGTCATTGGGCCGATCGATCTCGTCACAAGGCGCCGCGTGTCGTGCACGCCATCAACCCCTGCAAACTAGTCGAAGACCCTTCCGCGAGCGGCGAACGCAGGATATGTTGGTCTTGATTTGGCACTGCCACGCGCCAAGCAAATGGAAGCTCGGCAGTCGTAGAAGTTGCTTGGTGGTTTGCCAGCCAAGCTGAGCAAAAGCGGTGGTCGTCGCCAAACCAGTTGCGTCCATGTAGTTTCGAATGTGACAGCTACTGCTTTTGCTTGGATGTTGCTTGCTGTTGTTGGTTTGTATTTGTGTTTTGTGTTGTGTCGTTGTATTTTGTGCGTCTTTGTCTTGTTTGTTATGTGCTTGTTTGTTGTTTCGGTTGGTTTTGTGTGGTGCTTTGTTTCATGAGGTTGTGTTGTTGTCGTGTTTTGTGTTGTTATGCTTTGCTGCTTGTTTGTTCACTCATGTGTTTGTTGTTTTGCTTTGTTTTGCGACGATGTCGTGCACTCGTCACGTTCGCGCTTGGTGCCCACGCCGGTGTTGCCAACAACGCCGCGTCTCCTGGCAGCATGCTGCTGCCCGTTCACCACATGTACCCGCATGAAAGTTTCATCATAGTACATTTTTTGCAAAAAGGTGTGAAATTGCCGGCCCAAGGCTGTGGAACAAAAGCTGCCGCGCTATAACTGGCACGGAGCTGGAGCGATAGCAAACAAGAACTCCGTGTGATGAAGCAGCGCAGTCCGCCATAAATGACAAGGTCCAATTTGCGCCTGTGGCGTGAACGAGCCACGCCCGCTCGGCGACCTTCCCCCTCCCGCTGCCAGGCACCAGGCGGCTACTTGCAGCACATTTTCGGGGTGCTAGCCTCGCGCGCGTGACAGTCCCTGGCCGGCGGGAGTGGACCCTTTGGTTTGTTTTTTCTTCTTTTTTTTTTCATTTTTTGTTTTTCTCCGCCTTTGTTTCCCGCGCAACTGCCAGTCAAGGACAGGCTTAAAGGATTCGTCTCGGCGAGATCCGGGGCCGACGTAGACTTCAAGATAAGGAAGCTGGTGCAGCTGGGCACTCCGCAGTCCCAAGCCAACACGTCTAACTGGGCTACGCAAGTCGTTTGCCGCGGAAAGCGCCGCGGACGAGGCCATCGGCGCCGAGAGACGCGCGCTACCCGGAGCAGCGCCAGCCGGGGCCCCAGCGGTTGGGGGTGGTGGGGCTCCGAGGTGCACAGCGTGATCTGTTTAAAGCCGATGAAAGGTGCCAAAAACTCCGGGTTTGAAAAACAAACATTGGTGTCCTTCCTTCAGACGTGAATCGCACCAGCGCCTGCGGGCGAGGATGCCAGCACGGTGAGCCAAAGGACCTAGGTTGTGGCATGGGCGAGGTTGAGAGCCGAGGGTGCTAAATTTCATAAGGTGGGTGCTTTATTGCTGAGAAAAAAATAAAAATAATTTTATTGTGTTGGGGGGGTAGATGTAGATGGGTGGCTCCGAAATCCACACACATGGCAACTACTCTGCCGCAAGCCTGGCAAGGAACCAAAGTCCACGGGCATGCTGTTTTCACACGTGCAACATAAGGAAGTGTCCCTTATTGTTGAGACGGAAAAAACAAGCTTTTTTTGGTTAGAGGGAGGTCGATTTAGATGGGTGGCTCCGAAATCCACGCGCATGGGGCAAGAGGAGAAAAGTCCACGAGCATGCTGTTTTCACACGTGCAGCAAAAGGAAGGGTCTTTTACTTCCGAAAAGGAAGAACAAAGGGAAGTGGATGTAGACAGCCCAGCGCTGGCAGCCAGCCTTTTCCTTTCCGGGGCCGTACGTGCCTGCGATCGAGCTGCGCTGCTCCCGAATCGGAGCTCCGCAGGCGCAATTATTGTTGCAAACGAATCGGCCCAGGAGAGCCTTTCAGGTTCCCATGAGTGCACTCCCTTGTTGCGGGCAAACAAAGAACAGCCGAGTTGGAGTTTTGAGGGTTTGGTTGGTCTGGGAGAAAAGTTCTTCCCGGCCTCAGAACTTTGAACACAGCACGCGCTTTATGGGGAACGCCTGCAAAAAGAGTCTGGCTTAGTCAGACTCACTCTGATCAGCCGCAGCACCCTGCTTCACCATTTCAATCATGGTGGTTTGCCGGCGTGGCTGGTGGCCAACCTTCTCCGGCGTACCCAACTCCAGCGCCTAGCATGCGCCAAATCCAATCTCAAAATCCATTGCGACCTCAAATTTAGAATCGATGCTGACCGATGGTTTCAGGTTCAAGGGAAACCCAATCAATCCCAAAAATGACTCCCTCGAAACGCCCGCTCTATCGGATGCTATGACACTGCTATGAGTGTTTGAGTGTGTGTCTGTGTGTGAGCGCGCGAGCGCGGGGCGTGTGGGCGGCGGCGGCGGGCGGCCGCACAGGGGGCTAGGAAAGGATAAGGATCTATCGGATCTATCTCAGAATAGTAAAGGAAGAAACTCAAGTAGTTGATATTGAGGAAACGCAGGATGTGTCCTGGCAAAGGTTCTTGGCTGTGTACCGCAAGGCACGGACAGCAATAGCTCCTTTTTCACTACGCTGCGCAAGAAGGGCCTTGAGCCCAAAAAGCTCAATGATATACATGGTTGCAAGAAGATCAATGTGGAATCAAACAAGGGGCGGGCGGGTTGGTGGGGGCGGGCGCGTGAGTGAGTGGGTGTGTGAATGAATCGGCGGGGGCGTCAGTCGCAATGCCCGTTGCCCGCCTTCCGCTTGCCACGTCCGGACACATCTCCGCGCCCGCGGCCACGGCCGCCACGACCGCCACGGCTGGAGGAGGCCGGCGCGGATGTCCCCCGGGCAGCCTTCTTTGCAGACGGGTTGCCGTTGGCCTTGTCTTTTTTGTCCTTTTTGTCCTTCTTGTCCTTTTTGTCCTTTTTGTCCTTCTTAGTCGTGGCATCTGCCACTGACTTCTCCTTGTCTTTTTTATTCTTCTTGTCTTTGCGCTTCTTGTCCTTCTCGTCGTCCTTGATGTCCTTCTCGTCGTCCTTCTTGTCCTTCTCGTCGTCCTTCTTGTCCTTCTCGTCGTCCTTCGTGTCCTTCTCGTCGTCCTTCTTGTCCTTCTCATCGCCCTTCTTGTCCTTCTCGTCGTCCTTCTTGTCCTTCTCGTCGTCCTTCTTGTCCTTCTCGTCGTCCTTCTTGTCCTTCGTGTCAACTTCGTTGTCCTTCGTGTCAACTTCGTTGTCCTTTTGGTCCTGGTTGCCCAGGTAGTCCTGTTGTGTGGCCTCGGGGTCGGTATAGCCGCTGAGCTCGAAGATCGGAGTACGCAGCTTAGCATCAGCTTCTGCTTGTGCCCCTGCCTCTTCGGCAAGTTGGCCCAACGAGCTTAACTCTTGTGTCTTTGGCGCATCGCTGTCGCCTTTGAAAGTCTCAAGGGGCTCAAGCACGCGTTCTGGCACTGGCTCTGGCAGTGGGGCTGATGGTCGGGAATCTTCTGTCAGCAAACGGTCAGGTGTCTGGCGATGCGGGCTGGGCGGGCTGCTGGTGGGAATGGGAGTAGTCGGATGCGGCGGCTCTGCCGTCTCCGGCTCCCCCGTCACATCTTCTTTGGCCTGGCAAGGGCCAGTTACGGCCTTTCTTATTTTCAAATTACAACATTGCGGCATTTGCTGCAATCAGTCCAACAGCCTACGCTCTTTTGTCTACCCAGCGCCTCGTCTGTCTGCTGCATATCGGCGCAGTCCAACGTTTTGATGAACTCACCCGCTGCCTCAAGAAATGGGGTGCCGGGGTAAGACTCAAGCAGGAAGCGCTGTGCAGGAAGTTGGTCGGCAGTGATAAGCATCGATGCCACCCTGAGAGCAGTGTTGTTGGATGCGATTGCCTTCTCCACTACGATGCAGCCGAAAGGTATATACATCAGGTCTCCAGCAACAACATGGGCGGTCTTGAGGGTGGAGATGTCCTCTGCCACGCGCTCATCAATGCTTTCCAGGAAGTGCACTGCATCCTTGGCCAAGGCGCTGAGAAACATAAAGCTGGGCTGTGAAGCTAGAAAAGCCAAAAACACAACTTCACAACTCACAACATGACCAGCTCATGAGCGAGCGTCCTTCAAAGACCCCTGCACCTGCGTCTCACCCTCCGCCGGCTGCTTGGCACTTGCAAGCTCGCTAGCTTCTGCTGCATCCATGGTCGCCATCAGCTTGCCACCATTCATCTGGAAAATGAAGTGGCCGGCGCCATTCGGCAAAATGCCGCCGAACAAAGCCCCGCGCGCCTGACCGCGCCAAGTCACGCCAGTGATCTTCAAGGCCTCCTTGCTCTGGACAGCGTCCCCACCACTTGTCCGCTCTGCGACCCTCAGCAACGCGACCAGTGCATTGTTGGGGATACACGAACCCCAACTTAGACCAACAACGCTACACATGCAGGGACGAAGCTGAATAGAAACAAGCTTTCTCGTATCAAAACTAAGGCTCGAGTGCCCCGAGTTGCCCCGAATACTGGCTTTGCTTACACATGTTTGGGGCGCTGCTGGCTTCCTCTTGTTAAACAAATCAACGCAGAGACAGCTGAATGAAAGGAAACCAGGAATCAGGCTGGCAACGCGCCCGCGATCCATCACAGAAGCCTTGATGTCAAAGGGAGCTTCGGGAACCGTCTCCGAGTGCGTCCGCCGCTCCAGCTCCAGCTGCGTCAACGCGTCCAAAGCCAGCAAGGTAGCAGGCCCCTCAGTAGTGAGGGCAACTCGGTCGCGGGGATCTGCACTCTCAAGTCGGGCTTGGAATTGCGTCGCAAAATTGCCACATTCAGTGGCCAAATGCTTCGCAAAGTTGTTGACCGATTCCTTTGGGGTAGACGGGGTCTCCTTGGCGCAACTCAACTTTGGTGAAACCCAACTTCATCAACCCTCAAGCTCTCAACCTAGCGGGCAAAACCTTCAAAGTGAACAAAGTGAACACACCCCAAGCACTGACAAAGCTCAGCCAACACCTTCTTCAGAGCGCCCTTCTTCAAGCGAGCAACGGCAGGGTGTAGTAGGATCTGCTGCAACGTCTATGAGAAAGGTGGTCAAATCTGTGTAGACAGGGGTGACATTGGCGGGGGGGAGCTTGTTGATGCATTGGATGATGGTCGGGTCGTCTGCGTCAATCTCACCATGCCCCCCCGTGCGTCTGTGGCGGGTTTTGCCGTCATCCTTCCTGTTGCCCTGCGGGGCCTCCTGGTCCTGAAGCGCTGCTGCCTCTGCGCGCGCCTTGTCCTCCGCGAGCTTTGCCGCTTTCGCCGCCTTTGCAGCTGCGCGTGCTTCTTCCTTAGCTTCAAGGGCTTTTTCCTTCTTCTCCAGCCGCTCCATTGCTTTTGCCTCCTCCTTTCGCGCCTATCAAGGGCGACATCAGAATGGACACTTAAAGGCGAGGGCCAGCGCGTGACCGCAACACGAACCAAGCCTCAGCTAAGTTGAGCAGATGTTTCCTAAAATGCCCGAAGCCCTTTCTAAAATACCGAGCAAGACAATGTTTTGAGGCAGGGCAATGACAAAACGATTTTGGGCTACGGTTGCTTTTAGTGCAAACGAGACCACTGCAGAGATACAATGCTTCGTTGGGCCTTGGGGGATTACATTTCTAGGCAAAGCAGCGTTGGATAAGAGCCTTTGCCAGCGCAGCGAGATTGGACTTCCAGCTGTCGCACTCAGAGAGGCAACAGTCCGCGATCTTCCTCAGAAGGATCACTGCATTCGTGTGTTTCTCCGCGAGCTCCGTGACGGCAGCCACTGTTGGCTGCATCTCAAGCTTGCAATCTCGGCTTTCTTGCACACTGCCGATTGTCTGACATATGCTCTCTGTGAGGAAGGACTGCCGGAGGTCCCGCAAATACGGGTCTTCGATGGCAGCAAGCAATGGCGTAAGCGCTCACAACTCTTGCAATTTACAAGGCTCTCCGGCCAACAGCTCGCTTCTTGGCACGCCTCGTAGTCTTGCGTGACCTCTTCTTCAGCAACAGCCGTCCAAATTCTCCAGACCTGCAACAAGATGCAAACACTACAAGCAAAGCGCTGAGCAGTGTGTGACAAAACTAGTGTCGTTATATGTCATCAACTTGACTATACGATCAGCCAGCCACCCGGCCTTGCCGATAGACTCTCCGTTCTCATTGACACCATCGACTTGGTCTTTACGAGCGCTGGCAGACGCAAACTCGGCTGCCCAGCGTTTCTCAGCGGCATTCGCGTTAAGTCCTTGGCTCTCGGAGTCGCCGCTTGTCAAGCATGTCAATCAACTATGCATGCCTGACACTAATTACGCACCAAGGCTCTCGCGTACGAGGGCGCCTGCTCGGACCAATACTTCACGAAATCGGCCTTGCAAAACGGAGTCTTCTTGCGGTTGTCCAGCATGCGCCGCCCCTGCGACGTGAGTTTGGCCACTTCGCTGAAGTC